ATTTCTACCTTCTCCTCTCTGTCAACGCTCTCTGGTTTCATTTAAAAGAGTCGATCATCAGATATTGTCCAAGATTAACCTTCAGGGTGGATATCCACAGTATTCCTGATTTCACGCCACTACCCATAATTCATAGCAGAAGCAGGTTCCATATTTCCGCTTGGCTGTTATTTACAATTACAAGGATACACCATTGCTGTTTATCAAAGCATTTTTCATTGAAATTAGGCATAGATGGCCACATATCAGAGGTTTATTTACTGTGAAGATGTTTTAAAAAGCAGTAAGGACAATTCTTTATCAGTGGCTCAGCCATCACTGCTCACAGACTGATGTAGCTATGTCCCGATGTTAGCTAATAGCTGCTACTGACATCAACTACCCTGTGTTCCTCAGGTGATTGTACCTGTAGAAGTGCTCAAAGGTGTTTGCGAGCTCCAGGCCAGAGAGAAAAAGGATCGGTTCCAGAAACTGCTGCAGCCGCTCCAGAGTGTCCAAGCTGCCGGACGGTGTCCCACTGGCCTCAATCATCTGATCAACGTACTGAGCAAAGCGCTCGCTCACCTACAGAGAGGACACATTCATCAGCATCACTGCCATCATAACAACACAAAGCAAGACTGCAACACAAACAATCTGAGCTACACAGCTTTAGACTCCATGATATTCAGTCACATGTCTGTCCAGGCCTGTTTTATGTTTGACATGTCTGAACAGACATGTGACTGACTTCATTCAGCTCAGTCTGGTCTAAGTGTCTCCCACAGCTCCCAGCAGTGTTTTTAAATGATTCCTTTCAAAATGGACCCGTTCAGACTCACGTGCATGGCCTTGAGGATGGAGAGCTGCAGCAGAGCAGCAGAGAAACCACGCCGCAGGGCGAGAACAAAAGCTGTCTGCTGTCCGAACAGCTCCTCCATGGCTTTCTTCAGCCGCAGGTACAGAGCCCTGTAACGCTCCACGAAGTCCGGCAGACTGCAGCTGGCCTCCAGAAACTTCTTCACCTGAGGGGAAGAAGTCATTGTACATATTTAACAGGATGTGTAATGCTTGAAACACAACATATTTATATTTAGGTGTAAAAAAACAGATTCTACCTGGCACTGTACCACTCCCTGCCAGCAGAGGGCGATGCCTGCAATGCTGCTGCTGCTCTTGACTTTGGGCTTGACAGGAGACGGAGAGGAGGAAGAGGGGGCGGTGAACGTGTCTTTGTTTTTACCCTCTTTACCATCTAGAAGACAACATTTCATTAAGACTTTTGCTTCGTTGAACAGAGCTCAGGTCTGCTGATGTTTATCAGAACAAAAGAGACTGAGATGAAAACTGCAGCCACAAACAAATTATGAAGCAGTGTCTGCTGCCTCCTTCTTTTCCATCTGAAAAGAAATCATGTCAGAATCATGGCAGTGATGAAAGAGCTAGGTGGTGAAAACAAGCAGTTCCAACTGAACATAAATGAGGGTGAATCAGTGGTTTTAACACTGATAACCCCCCTGCTGGATGGTTAGACATCTGAAACCATCTGACGTCAGCAAGACGCTCTTTGTGGAGCGCCCCCTGGTGGTTGTGTGTGAATTAATCTCAGCAGTTTAGGAGCTTTAGCTGAGTGAATGTCATTTTAATGTAAAAACAGATTAAATCTAGTACAAATTCAGCCAGCAGGGGGCGCATGGCTGCCTTCCTGTCTCTATGGGGACAAATGAAATGAAAGCGGAGCATTAAAATGTAGGCTCTGATTGCAGCTCGTACTTACTCTTCAGCTCTTTGCTTCTGTTGAGACCTTCTGAAAATAAAATAAATTATTTTAGTCATCAAGCTCGGCATGTTCTGGCATCTGATTGTGAACGGCACATGAATGAGCGTCCTGATAAACACCACCAACATTTGCTATGGATAAGAACTGCTCCGGTGAACGAGCAGTTGGGTGTTCCCCACGAGGTGTTTGGGTTAGGGTTATATGTTTTCTAACACCTAAAGTCTGTCCAACTTCTACATCCCCATCTTGATAGATGACATGTCTGCAGACAAAAAACCAGTACGCCAAGATGAAGGGGACGAGGACATGCTACAGCTAATATACAACCCCTGGTAAAAAGTATGGCATCAGCAGTCTCTGATGAGCTCTCATTCAGACATTTGATTCTGTAAAACAAACTCAGATCAAAAACATGAAACAATAATGAGGTCATTCCAAAGGTCAACTTGTTGTCTTTCAGGAACACTCAAAGAAATGAAGAGAAAACATTGTGGAAGTCAGTGAATGTTACTTTTATTGACCAAACACAGGGAAAAAGTATGGAATCACTCAAACTGGAGGTATAAAATAAGGACACACCCAGTCAGTTTCCTTTCCCTAAATGGACACCTGCCTCAGATTAGATCTGCTATTAGTCTGCAGTTAAAAACACCTGCAGTCATGACACCTTGGAGGGCTGCTGGACCAAGTGGAGTGGACAGAACCATGGCTCCAACAAGAGAAATGTCTCTTGAAACAAAAGAGGATTGTGAAACTTCTTGAAGAAGGAAACTCTTCACACATGGTTGTTAAAGATGTGGGCTGTTCTCAGTCAACTGTATCCAAGATATGGACCAAATACAAACCAGCATGGAATGGTTGTTAAAGCCAAGYGTACTGGTAGACCAAGAAAGACATCAAGGCATCAAGACAAACAACTTAAGGCCATTTGTCTTGAAAACTGAAAAAGTACAACTAAACAGA